TTGGCTTTAAAATTGTATTTACATTTTTAACATCCCTTAATAAGCTTATTTCATCGAGAGCATAAACCTAATTACGAGTCACACCAGGGGCTCTTTGGCTGTGGACAGTTCTTCCAATTTACACTGGATCAAAGATGGCTGGGACACCAGCAATCTGCTGACCTGCATTTTTGCCTCTCAACTATTTCCGTCATGCCATGGTTTTACTATCTAGGATTTTAAACAACCTCTGCAGGTGAACTGTGATCTATTCTCACAAACAGTATTTGTCTATCCATCATCTTTTTTTTTTTCCAAAACCCAGGATACATAGGGACAGTGGTACTTTCCTTCTTCCTGCCTCTTATCCACCCTCCATAGTCATTCCACCAATACTCACGTGACAGACAATTTGTTGGCACTTCTGAAGTTACTCATTCACTGTAATAGGATAATCAGTGGATTTGCATGAATTAATTTTTTTAATATCCCTTTATTTTGGTCCTCTCAACTTTAATTCTTTTATTTTTTGTTTTTATCAGTTCTTTGTTTCACATTATTTTTGCAAGTATCACCATGCTTGAATAAAATGTGCCAGTGTCTTTTTATGTCTTTATGGAACTGAATTTTCCGATTTCTCATTCAAAAGAACTTTGCACAATAAGCCCAATGTATCTGCCTTAGACAGATGAAATCACTGAGTCACCTTTGTTTGTCAAAGAACATTTGATCCTAAGAAGCTTAAATATTCCAAAGAAAATGTTTACTAACTTCATTGACTCTACTCTGGGGGAAAATGTGTGCCCTCTTTGGTCTTTAATATTTAGGATGATTTCTGCATTGTTTTAATTATAATCAAAATAATTATTATTTTAAGCAGCATAGATTTCTACATCCATACTGATTTAGAGGCATACATTTCATACTGATTTGAATTTGCAGTGATTTGATTTTACAGTTATATAACATTTCCTTTAGTATTAAATTTTATAAATCATTCTTGCCCCACCCCCAATAAAAAACCTCAATCACAAATGAGAGGGAAGAATATAAATTAAATGTAACAAAATACATATTCACAATAGGGAAAATAATAGAAATAGAAAAGTAAGGAGAAAAAAAATCATATATAATCCAATCATTCAGTTAACCTACAGTTACTAAGAATTTTCTATAGTTTGGTATAAGATCTTTTATAAAATAACTGGTATTGCAATCAAAAATGAGGCTGATCTTCTTTTCCTAAATAGTACCTATCCATTCTAATGTCTACTTTCACAAATTAGAGACGTAAGTTATTACACATACTACAAGCACATAAAAACATTTTCCAGATTTCCAGCTCTAGCAACTAGGTTTCACCCATTAGAGTCAGATAATTTTCTTTCTTATATGATTTGTGTAATAACTTATTTTTATGCATTTGCACATAATTAATATTTTCTGTCTTACTTCATAGTAACATTTAATTCTCTCTCCATTCCCTACAACTCCATTTGCAGCATTCATGTTTATTTTCAATGTATGATTTCTTGAGATATGGAATATCTTTAAATATCTTTATCATTTTGGATGGTTTCTACCAGGATGCCATCCAAACATAAGTACTTTAATAAAGGCTATATTTGTCTGATCATGACTTTTTTTTGTGGCAAATGACTTACTTTGATGGTGTTAAAATTTCTCAGCTTCACTGGAACACAGTCAATTCATATTCCTGTACTATCTTACATGTGGAGGAGACTAAGCATACATGGGTGGATGTAAACAAAGTTTTTTAGAAACTGCCTCGAGAGAAGTCATCGATCAATATGCTCTAATTGAGAAGACACGGGGATCAGAAAAAACTATGTACTGATACAACAAGCGTGTACTAGCAAGTAAACTACCGCCAGCATTACTCGCAGGGATCCCCCCTCCACACAGCAGGGCCTCTGGAGACTCCAGAGGACGGGTCGAGATCATCAGTGGGCGCTGACTCGGGCAAGATGAGCTTTTTCTGAGGGTTTTCCCTTTGAACCACAATTTTATGTCTCTCCTTATTCTGACATAAAATTCTTATTCTGACATAAAAACCCAGTTTGGTTTTGCTGTAAAGAAGTGTACAAAATAACAGGAAAACCAGTTGAGGTCTAACGTTGTCAGCCCACTGCTTGTACCTGCCTACTCTTGGTCTGAGGAAAGTTGAGAACCATTGCACGAGGCAACGCGGATGGTGATACAGCCCTGAGTTTTCAGTCTGAGGGGCTGTTCTCTTAAGAAAAACAAACTCTTAGTCAAGTCTGAGCCCTGCACTCGGCTGACTGCATTTCCTTCATAGTAGTGCTCAAAATAGTTGACTTCTTGGCCCGCAAAAACACAGAAAAGCCTGGAAAAACTGCTGTTCCCAGCCTTCACGGACTGGGCCCAACATCAGCCAATAGTTTTACCAGAAACTCCAGGTCTGTGTGATGCAGCAGTGTTGGCTGCACCTGGAAGACCCACCAGTTCAGGGGAGCTGAAGGAAAGCACTAATCTGGGGCTCAGAGCACACTTTGTTCCTTCGTAGAAGTACCTGGGCACATGAGGGGCTTGCCGCCTCAGCTACTCTCCCCCTTACTGCTGGCTTTGAGGGGTTAGCCTGCTGCTCTGACAATGGAGGTTGAGAGAGAGAGATCCCCAAGTCAAAGGCTTGGTCACTACCCCAGGTTTCAAACCCAAGAACTGAGAACAGTCTGTGGATGCCAATCTCTAGCAAATAGTATTCCCTCACTCCCCTCAAAAAACAGAGAGAAATTAAACAGCCTCCAGAGGCGTGAGACAGAAAGCAAGACCCTCAGGATTTAAGGACCAGTTCCGTCTCCTAGTTATGGTTTCTGGAAAGAAGCCCGTGCAGTGGTGACTGTCTACCACTTGGCTCTGAGAGCTCCTGGAGAAGCCACTGAGGAGAATGAACAGTCTCAAAGATAACCAGCTGGGATCTGAGGGTTCACTTAGGGCACACCGAAAAGCTTTCCATTAGAGGCAATCGTCAGACCTACAGACCAAACGCACGCGACCCAGATGCCCAGGAATCTGTCCAAGCAGCTCCAAGACTGTAACCAGTTTGGTCAGAGGATCCTAATAGTTTTCCCCGATGTGCTGAAGGTGGGCTTGCCTGTTGCAGAGGGGCCTTGGAATGTCCAGGCTGTGTCTCACTCGCCACCTTGAGAAACTTACCCCAATAAGGAGGTGGGTGGAAGAGGCGACTGTATCACCCTGAAGAAAGTGAAGTGAGGAGGCTGCCTTAGATGCAGTCAAAGCTGACTTTGAGAGAGGAGACAGGCTGAAATAACCAAGCCCTCACTTCTTTCTGAGCATGTGGGAGTTTAATCTGGTCAATGACCAAAACATTTTGTCTCCCCAGCAGAAATCACAAATAAGCTAATCTAGAAATCTGGGCAATCCACGTCAAATAGGTTCAGTCCGAGGCCTCCGTATAGCCCACAGCATTTAGCACAACTGTCGATGTTTGCTCCTTCTGGCAGACTTTCCCTTTTAACAGATATATAAGCTTAAAAGCAGTTTAACGCTAATGGTGGGCTCATACAGAAGAATGTTAAAATTCTCAATGAGGAAAAACCAAAATGTGTCCCATTGTATAAACGACTCTTTCCTTGCATAAAACAGGGATCTGATGATTTCCTCCCATTTCTCCCCTCTTTCGCAGAACAAGTCTAACTCCAGTACACCTTATACAATAGTTATATAGAACACCAAGAACATAATAATATACTAATGTCTAGAAAGTAAAAGCACAATAAACCATATTGTTATCAGAAAGGACAGGTACTAACAGAACAAAACACAAACTTCCTGATAGAGTTCTAAATCCAGATGATTCTTACGTGTTATCTACATTAGACACATTATCTCCATTTTCAAGATCCTTCAGCTTCCTCAGGCCAGTCTCTGGATGTATTTAACATGTAAGAGCTGTTTTCAGCAACTCCACTAAAATTTTTCTTAGCAAGTTTTGTTTGGGCTTTGGAAGAGTTTTTGCTTTGTTTTCCAGTTGACTAAAATGGAGGCCAAATTTGACTAGTGTATTTATTTAAACTGCAAGTAATGGTATAAAATTTGTTTGCCCTGATAACTGCCTAAACAATCTCAACCTTCCTTAAATACCTGTTTGTCTAATAACGTCACCCTCACCTGTTTTGTTTCTCTTTAATCTCTCTGCCTTTTATTAAATCACTCTAAGGCTTTTTAATCCATGCTGGTCACCCATCTGGAAATAGGTGATTTCTCGTAGCTCCCATTTCACTAATTTTACTCCTTAAATTTCCTGTTTATTTTTAACATGCTTATTCTCTACCTTAGACTCACTGCTGTGATCACATTTTTCTTCCTTTATTTCCCTTCCTATTAAATTAGCAAATATACTGTTAACATTCCCCATTTGGGGAAAGTTTTTTCTCTCGAGGTGACTTAGAGCAAAATGACACCAAGGAGATGTTCTAGGTTGAAATTCCTCTAACTCAGCCACAGTCTTCGGGGGTAGAGTTTCCCTGCCTTACACTTTCTCATTTCACCTTTACCTTCTCGCCCAACAAGGTAATCAGGGCTAGTTCCACTAAGAATACACACCTGTATCAATACCGCCAGGCAATCATATTAGGCACAGCTGTGAACCCCCCTCCACACAACCATAAGGCAATTTATAGTCAGGAAACAATATCTTCTATCTCTTGAATCAGAGGACCCTCATTAATATCAGGTTGAATCAAGTTTTGCTACAGTCATCCAAGAGCCAACCCCTATTAATCAATTCTAACAAAGTAGGCAGACAAACCCGAACCAAGAAATCCAAAGTCCTGGGAGTCTAACCGAGGGTTTGAGACTCAAACCCAATTCCTTGAGTACCTCAGCAGTTGTAACTTTTATATCATCTCCCTTGGGCTCTAACCCAGTGAAAATCTCCCCATGGTGGGCCTCTAATCCAGAGTCCTGACAAGATTATTAGACAATTTAGCACAGGCACATTTTAACAAGGTACTCACCCCAAAGACATCTGATCCAGGACCGCAGCAGTGGGGACAGCCAACTCTCCAGACAAATTCCGTTTAGGTGATCACTAAGGTTTGGTGGCAAGTGCCTTTAGCAAGCAATCACAAGACCCCAGCCCCTTTCTGGTCCCCCAAAACCGTTACTGAACAAGGGCTCATGACCCAGTGTGCGCAGAAGATGCTGGCACCAGCTTTTGAGAAAATAAAGAGTTCTATTCCAAGTTCAACTGACAAGGAGGCAAGAGATAAGGCTCTCAAATCTGTCTCCTCAATCCAGGTCTCAGGGCAAAATTTAGGGGATTAGGGAAATTTCGAACTTGGAAGTTGATTGGCTAGTCTTGAATTAGTCCATATAAGCTCCTCATGCTGCAGGTAGCCAGATTTTCCTTGTTAAGGGCTTCTTGCTTTGTAAAGGGCTCTGGTGGCAACATTTTTATTCTTCAAGTTCCACAGACTGAAGATTCTGGGTTCTGGCATTATCCTGGAGACATGGTCCTTGTCTTGCATACACGCCCAGTGCCGTCTCTGAAAATTAACTCCAGGTTTGATTAATCAACAGCCTATTTAAGGAGGCAGAACCTGTTTAAGCTGGTCAGTGTTTTAGGTGTTGTTTCAGATTTAACAAGAGAAATGTTATTTTTGCTACTGGAAATAGTATCTTTTTGAATTTGCTATTAGTACATCAAACTCTAACTGATCTTAACCATATGGCTAAACTTTTTTATTCATTGTAAAAAGTTTTATATTGATCTTAACCAAATTGCTGGACTCTCTTATTCATTTTAATCACTCACATCTAGACTATTTTATATTTTTGTTATTCACAATCATATCACCTGCTGGTAATAACAGTTACTTTTTCCTCTTTTTTTGATCCTTACAATATTTATTTACTTATTTAATTTATTGACTTTCATCTTACTGCACACTGTTCAAAAGAAGTAATGGATCTAGGTCTGAGTCTCTAATCTCAGTCTAATATTTTTATTTGCCATAAGGGCAATCTTGGATTTTGACTTAGCATATAGCTAAACAATACAGATTCTGGTTTTAGCTCTGATTTATTCTTAATTTACTTTGATCTTATATTGTTTCTTTATAATGTACAGTAATATAGTAACAAGTATATTTTCTCTCATTTCTAGATATTTTAAAGCTAGATATCAATTTTTCAAGGTATCTGCTATATAGTTCTGGCAGTAGATACAGGTCTATGAAAATAACTTTGATGAAAATAATTCTTTTTGGCAATGATTTTTTTCCTAATGAAATGATCTCTTCCTTAGGAACTGGTGCGCTTATGTACATACCAGATTATCTCCCACAGTGGTACTGGACAACCAAGTCACTTATGTCCCAAGTGGAAGAGGGCCCTGTGGCTGGAACAGTGGATCCTGTCCTCAGAGGTACGTGATGTTTCTTGAAAATAGTCACTGCTTGCACCATAATGTGTGGACTGGAATATATAGAGAAAGTTAATCATCCCAGGTACACGTAGGTATAGTAGGGTCAGGGTAGGGTCATCACCTGAAACTCAGTGTATGATATTAAATAAGTCAAAATGCAGAAACTAGTAATACTTGCCTCTTATGGATGTTTTTAGAATATGTGAGGTAATAAAGGAATATGATTAGCCTGGTGTCTGGCACTTGGTGAGTCTTCAGTGAATGTTACTGCTTATGTTTGTTTCTGTTTTTACTATTACTATATTACTATGACTTTTACTCTACAACCTGACCAACAACTCTGTCCTTTAGTCCCTTATGAAATGACACAGTTTTAAAGGTTTATTGGTAATTTCCCTTTCCTACTAGGTCAAAGCGAAGTCCATAATTTGACAAAATACTAATTGCAATTATACATGGGAGAGCAGCTAAGTGAGGCCTTTCTTTTTGTGTCAATTTTAATGACTTGTGTTATTTAGGTTCTTTTTTAAAATTATGTAATTATCCTAAAATGTGGGGCTGAGTAATTGATAAATTCTCTGAATTCACACAATAGCTCAGCCGGGGGTGTTCCAGGGAAGCCTACAATAAAAACTATAATTGCCATTCAGGCCATGATGGCTAATGTTATGCAAATTGTCATACAAATAACTCAAGCAGTGATTCTGACAAATCGGCAGTCTGGAAAAGCGCGCAGTGAGGAAACATAAAATCAAGGTGTTCCTTAGTCCCTTGAGGAATAGCTGAGGCTCATGGTCCTGAGGCTGAGCACATCTTAGGGATCTGGGAGCACTGAGCTCCAGTTCTGCTTCCGGCATTTACTCCCTTTGTGACAATTTCCTTGTCGACATGAAATACAAAGAATGCATTGTTAACTGCTTAGTAAGGAAAATATAAGCACAATAACCCCTATCATACAGTCCTTCTGAGTTCACAGTGAGCTCTTTTTCTCTTTAAACAAACTAGAAATATAATATTTTTATTCTCAATTCTTATCTTTCTCTACCTTTGAATGGGTCTTTCCATTTAGTCACTATTTCAGTACATGCACAGTGTTTGTCACTTCCCCTTTTTTTAAAAAACATCTGAGCCACATACACTAGCAATCCAGTTTGCCAAAGAGGGAGCATGGAGTCCAACAAGAATGCAACTAACCGCTTGAGTTCACCCTGATTAAAGAGTCCTTTCCCAAACCACCTTATTTTCTATTTCGCTTTAGCTGCTGGACTAGAGAGGATATTTCACTGTACAGAGTCATTTGCTGGGTATAATTTATGGAAATAAACACAGATAAATGATTAGCCTACTTTCAGAGATGGAAAGGAGTCTTATAGCTCATTTTAAAATTGAGGAATAATTTCACATAATTACCTGTCAAGTTATAGCAGAAACTAAAACCCAGTCTCCTAAAACCCAGTTTGTTATAATGCATTACCCCCACATAATCAGGTTTTATCCACGAAAATGACTACTGTTGTCTCCACATAGTCATACATGACAAAGTCTGGAAAATAAGAGGGAGGCTAAGTTACACAGTGTGGATTAAAATCCCAGCTCGACCACTTTTAGACATGAGACTTCCAGCAAATTATTCCATCTCTATTTCCCTTGGGTTCCTCATCAGCAAATCAGGATAATAATAATACTTTCCTCATAGAACTAATGTGAGGATTAAACAAGATAATATATATCCATGTCATAGACCCATTTGATAAATATTAGCTAAAAATTGAAGTCACAGGAAAAAGAATAAAGCCAAATTATATTTATGATTTACATTTGTATATATAAAGCCTGAAATTTTGTACCATTCATTACTTATATTGATTGTTAATCTGAAATGTTACAGTTTCATTTCCCTTTTATGTTTTTTTCCCAGAAACATTTTCTCATGTTAGATCACTTCCTACCCCTTCTCTCTCAGAGATATAATAAGAATTGAAATAAAATAAATTACCCTCTTAAACTATTTAAAAATTAAGATTAAAATAAGTTTCAACATTGGTTTAGTGAAAAGCATTATCAGGGGAAAAGTTATCATATCTTTAAAAAATTTAATGATAGGTATGAATTTAAAATACCAACAAGTATAACCCTTAATTTTTTTTGTAATGTGTCTAAAGAAATTCAGGTTTGACAGTAATAATCTTTTGATGAAGATTGTTATAATGAGAAGAAGAATAACAAATAACACTTACTGGATGCTCATATTTCAGACATTGTTTCAAACACTTTAATTATTCCAATTGATAATTTCATGTGAGACAAATGATCAGTTTCCCCCAATTGCTCTCCTCTCTAGATCACGGAAGATATCAAATCCTATCTACAGGATGCAACATAAAATTGTGACCTCGTTGGAATGGAAATGCTGTCCTGGATTCAGTGGCCCAAAATGTCAGCTAAAAGGTAAATTCTAATGTTAATTTTGTAGCAACAATTAAAGGCTTGAAACTTCTAAAGAATAAGCAACTGATTTCGGTGAAGGGTTGCATTTCCCTCTTGAGCCAAAATTAATTAACACGTAGCGAAATGATCAAGACTGTTACTTTTCTAGAGCTTCCTAACCTGGGAGCTATTCTTGCACCCTAAACTCTCATAAGGTATCCTTTAACTGGATTTTTATGTTGGTCTCAATGATGCATAACTGGAGATCTGACTAAATATCTTACATGTTCTTAGCTATATGCCATAGAGATATGCCTTATTAAAATATCAGAAATCCTAATTTTATACTTTTAAATAAACTATCATTAGAAGTGACTCCATGTAAAAATAGGTTTACCCTCTAGTTTTGTTCCAGTTCAGTTATTTGAAACAATATGGTCTATGAATGAAATTTGGTTTTAAAGAATATATGAATGTGTCATGAGTAATTCTGCTTTTTTCAAAATATCCTAATGGAGCCACTTTTTCAACAGATTTTAAGGATTTTCTGGTGGCAGGTTGATCAAACACATGGTAACCTGCTGTGGCCTAACATCCATGTGACCATTATTTTGCTTTTGGCTATAGACAGGTTTCCTTTGGAAAATAAGACATGGCATCAGCATACATATTTTAAATGAATGAATATTACAAGAAAGGCCATTAGCAGCAGTGGGGGATTCAATCAGCAGTGTAAGAGACTGTGATTAAAAATTAATGTAAGTGTGGAGAAACCATTATGATTCACATTTTTTTTTAAAAAAAGAAAGCTGTAATACAAAAGCTCTAGGAAACTTGCAGCTTAGTTAGGGTTATTATATATGGTTCTAGCCCATTCAGTGAGAATCTGTAGGCAAATTTCACTGTAACACTATTTATTCTGGGTCTGGCTTGAATTTCAGAGAGGTTATAAAAAATTTAATGCATGTTTAGAGTACAGCATGAATATGCACTTCTTTTATAATCAGATAAAAAAAGTTTTAAACAAAGTGTCACTTAATATCAAAATATTTGGAAACAAGGTAATTTCGCATATTCTAAAAAAAACTCCAAAAAGGACCCTGCTTTCAAAGGACTGCTGATTTCCACAAGGTGCACAGATATACTCAGAGTGGTAAAACGTATTTGTTTATAACCTTATATGGCAGATGGTTAAGAGTTCTGGAGAGCATTTAGAATTATATTTCTAAAGCCTAACATTAATTTTTGTATTTCTCTTCTGATGAAGATATCTTAAGGATAGCAATTCCATTATCATTTCTTAAAGATTCAGTGTTCACGACATACTCTTCTAGAAATTGAGAATGTCATTACACACCCTGTTGTACATGAGAGACTGAATGGGGACATGTGGCAGGAAGCAAAGTCTGTATGTCAAAGAATGTCATGGGTTCCAGCTGATGAGGACTGTTTTGCTTCCTGCTTCTTCCTTTTATACCTGCTAATCGATTATTAATCACTATGGTGGACTCTATACACCTAGGAGGGAAAAAAAACCTACAGTTCCATCATTATAAATATACACACAGAAAACAAAACTCATTGACAGTTTTAAATATCTACCATGTGCTGTTACTGCCTTTTTAAAGTACTATGTGAAATATTTGAGTTGAATTCAGTTTAGGTTTCATGGTTTAATGACACCTTGTGTTCTGATGGAAGCAACCTGTGGAAATCTCTTCCAAATCGTTATCTTGAACCCCCATTGACAAAACTGTCCCAGAATAGTTCTGACTATGACTTTCTGTTACAACATGGTAATTAGAATTACTTATAATTCAGGTATCTGCTGATTAAGCTGCTGCGGGAAGATCTTTCTATTGAAATCTATGGCAGGAATAATTTTCTGATGGAAGATATGCCTGTTGTGTTGTGCTGTCATACAATCAATTCTTATACAACTGTGATTCTGAAAGAACCTACTGTCGCCCTTTCCGATATTCTGACCGTCATAGTCTTCACTTTTATTTCAGTACTGAGAAGCTGTTGAATTTTTTATCAGTGCGATTGATGCACTGGTAGTATCAAGAACTACTGTGTCTCTCTGTCCCTTGAACCATTCCTCATTTTCTCATCTACCCTTGGGTAGGGAAGGGGGTTCCGTATATTTTCCTTCTGATTCCTACCCAATTACACGCCAAGTTCCCCCTCCCCTTTTCATTACATTTTATATATGTGCCAACAGTCTTTTATTTTTATGTGGGAGAGAAAATTGTCAGGTTTCCTTTGACAGCACTCTCCATGCTGTCTCGTATGACAAGCACCTCCAAATACGGCAAGAATAATCAGTGTGGCCAATCTGCCTTTAAATCTCTTCAGAGCCCTCAAGGGTTTGGAATAACCTGGTTATGTAGCTACCAGGATAATTACTTCAGGGCTAGCCCTTTATAACAAAAGGAAGTTATTTGATTCATCAAAAAAGTGTAAAATATTATGTGAATTTTACAAATTCTTGTCCTCCCAACAAGTTTCCTTCCCACAACAAAATAAATTTCATAATAGGAAAGTTACTATTTCACTTTAATTTAAATTGCAGTAAGGAGGTCTTTTAAATATATAAAAGATCAATATATCAGTCATAAAATGGAGTTGCTGATAACTATACCCTCATTTATTTCTCCTCTTCCACTTTCCACTCCTCTCTTTTTCTGTTTCCTTCTCTCTCTCTCTAGACCCATCCCCAGCCTGTTAGGAGGGGATGTTGTGATTCAAAATCTGTGGGGCAATTCTTCCTGTTTTATTCTCCAATATGCTGTTTATTATATTACTGAACCGCCACACTATACTCTTTTTGCTGCAACTCAGATAATCAAAATCCTGGTAATAAGTTCTAGATTAGCTTCTTAAAAATATTAGTCATACTGTCAAAAGGAAACTAAGTTTTAAAAAATCTAAGTGAATAGAATTTTGTTGGGAATAAAAAAGAGCATTGAGTCCAACAGCAAAGTAACAGTTTTGATATATTTTACATTTGTTATGCTTTTTGGGGGGGTCAACAAGTCTGTCTTCAAAAAGGGACCTAGTTTTGTGATATGATACCTAAGACTTTTTTTTTTAATGTCAGCAACAGTATACTTTATAAACCAATTTTATAAAATTTGCAGTAATGTGCTTTTCCAGTAGATGTCTCTAAAATGTTCTGAAGTAGCACAAGGAAGTTGTGGCTTGCTCTAGTGACAGGAAGGACAGGAACTTAAGTTCAAATAATGTTAGATTAGAGAGGAGGAAAGAAAAACTTTGTAAATCTGTATTTAAAAAATCCTCA